ACTTTAGTGATGGTCTGTGTCTTAGTGTCCAATAGACAGATATCGCCGGTCCTGAAGGCACGACACGCGCCCTCCACTGCTATCAGACTCGGGATCCCGTATTCGCGGGCAATGACTGCCCCGTGAGATATCGTTCCACCGATTTCTGTGATTATACCCGAAAGTAATGGGAAGTATGGACTCCAACCGATGTCCGTCGAGTACGTGATCAAAATATCTCCCGGCTATTCATCACAGCAGACATGTTATAACACATTTCATAATTAAGATTAATAATTATTATAATTACCTGAATATTATCGGCTTCTGTAATGTCTTCAGACACACAAACCCTCGCTTTTACGGATCCATTACTAACAGGCGTTCCCTTCATCTGAACCATACCTGAGGTCAGAACTGGAGGTATAATCCGGTCCTCAAACTATTTATATTACAGAAACAAAAATAATTTTAATTTAAAGATATTATAAGAATAATGCATACATTTCTGGGTCTCATTTCGGGTCCTTTAATAAACTCTTCGAACTTGTATTTATCCATTCGAGGGTAAAGTCTTCGCCGTTGTCTTACTCTCGAGAATATCAATGGATCTCTTTGTCCATTACATAGCGCTTCCACTTCAGTGATAGTCAAGTAGAAGAATGTGTCCACAGTTGGGATTAGACCTTCGTTAACCATCTGTTGAGCCAAATACCAAAAGCCTTCTCTAAGTTTGTTTGTCATCCAAATCATGAAATACTTGGATAGCTCTCGATATCCAATCCCTCGTTGAGCCCACGGAAGTAATGCATGTTTTATTAATAATTTCTTTAAAGGATTCAATGGTGTCTTTAATTCATCGATCACTTTATCGACAGATTTTTCAATTTTTTCTTCAAATTGTGATTCATTTCCCGATAGTATTGTCTATAATTACAAACAAAAGAATAAATAACAGTAATAATAAATATGATTATCTAATGATTAAATATACTTTAATAGTTTTAATACAAGGCATTGGATTGCCTTTCCATGGCTTATACATGGGATCCACTTCCCGATACCCTCTGTGTCCGTGTCTTTCAATAAAGTATCTAAACTTTTGTGAGGACTCATCGGTTCCAGTGGTCAACACTTGTAGCGCTTCCTCATCATTCAATTGTCGGAACCATTGCTTGTCTTTAATAGATTTTGCGATTTCAGTCAACATTTTTGGCACTTCAGCACTGATTACATTTGTTGCCGAAGAGATCATTAGATTATAATCCAATTCAAGATCCAAATCATTTGCTATTAACACAATTTACAAAATTTGTAAATTAGATAATTTGTACATTAAATAACATATTGAGCATGGTTAATCACTTACTGGAAGCGCTCTGGAGAATAGCCTTTAAAATAGCATTTTTAATGCCCGATCCCATAGAGACGGGGCCGTGATATTTGAGTCCCTCACTTGATATGAAACATATGTTATGTATAATTGTGTCGAAAATATGTTTAACATTATTTTGTCGCTTCAATATCTCCACCAAATCGTATCGCATTTTTTCAATTATATTGTCTTTGGTTTTAATCAAATTTTTTGGCCCAAAAAGTAGCGAATAAATTAAATACGAAAACATACGGACTTTTGTAATAAGGGATGGCTTTATAGCCTCCGATTTCTTCATCCGAAACATATGTATAACGTCTTTGTCGTCGATCTGATGGCCAAACATCGCTAATACCGCAGTTTGGGATTGTTTTGAATCCGGATAACCCGCAAAAAAGTTCATTGCACCCTGATCACAATATATGCAAATATGATAAAGACTTACCATATTATAACTTTGTTCAATTAAATACATACACTTGTTAGATTAAACATGAGTTGATTGTATTGAATGCCCATTACTTCAAAAAATGGGTTGTAATCTTCAACAATATTCGTGCGGTTTCTTAACCCTTCGCGCTATAAATATGCAAATAAATACATTTATAATTATTGCCGTAATATTATAATTAGTAGCATTTCCTTACAAAAAAATTTGACTTATTGGCCAAAAATCCCTGCAAACAATTCCAAGACGAGGCTCCGGGAAAGTTCTCACCCCAATGGGCTCGAGAGTAGATTTCAAACTCTGTCGGATGTGAAGAATCCAATTCATGCATAATCTCGTAATCGGTGTAAGAATTGTCTAAATTAGTTACGGGTCTCGACTGAAGCATAAATATTTGGCCCCCTTTTAGACCCCATTCTATATCTCTTGCGTTTCCGTAATGTCTGTGAATCTAAATATAACCAAAATATTAATATTTATTATAATTATAAATTGCATTATTATTATTTACCTGAAGTCCGATATCTCCCAAACGTAGCAAATCTTCATCACTAATACAGCAGTTGTCGTTATCGTTGACCTCTTCCTCAACAGTGCCTCCATTTTCTAATAATTTGATTAAAGTCTTTTTCTTTCCGATGACTTTGGATTCAATTCCCTTAATATGTCTTCGTTTGGACAAAGAGTTGGACTCAATATTTGTGAACATTTTGATTGTGTCGGGTTCTGAAGACGCGGAGACCACAGACTGTATTCAATTCAATGGCATTAATATATGGCATAACATGTTATACTGTATTGTATTGTATGTATTGTTGACTCACTTCTCCCAATCCATAATTGCCTGTAATCTCAATAACCCTCTCATCGCCGGTAATCGGATCACAAGTGAACATAACTCCCGCCGATTCGCAGCCAATCATCTCTTGGATGACAACAGCCATC